ATGAGATTTCTTCCCATATTCCATCTTTCTTTTCATTATGTGATAAAATCCCTCACTATTACAGCGTCTGGGAAATGTTATACTGGAAGTATCCAGTAAAATACTCAGAAATACAGCACTATGCAGTATTTTCTACTAGACAGTTTCCCTCTCAACTCAAATCTCTCTTGATCAAGAGAAATTAACATGGAGAACATTTTCTGTGTATACTTTCTCTTTGCTTCCTTTCTCAAACTTTGCTGAAGTGATGAACTTTGCTTACAGTTTTAAAAAGTGGCTTCTCATACAACACAATCATGTCCTTAAGAGCTGATAGGGAAATAAAATACAACATATTTCTGGGCAACCTCCCGCCTTGCTGGGGGTGCTGGGTTCTGAGCTTCTCTCCTGAGTTGATGATGTTTTCCTCCATGGACAAGCTTAGTTCTACATCTCCATCTGGAAACAAGTCTTCAAGAACTTAAGGAAGATGTAGTGAAAATCTTGAAACTGAAAGGGATCATTGAGCTAACTCCTTCAGGCTAAAGTCTTTGAATAAAAATAATCTCTTAAGAGCTAGGTTCAGTGTCTCACACCTGTAATCTCCCCTCATCAGGTAGCAGAGGCTAGGGAGATTAGAGCTCAAGGCCAATCTGGTAAAAGTTAGTAAAATCCTTAACCAATAGTGTGTGGTACAACACACTTGTGATCCCAGCTAAACACAGAAAATAAATAGAAGGATTGCAGTCTAGACTGACCTAGGTTTAGAAGAAGAAGAGGAGGAGGAGGAAGAGGAGGAGGGAAAAGAGGGAGGGAGGGAGGGAGGAGGAGGAGGAAGAGGAAGGAGGAAGGAGGTGGAGGCTAGGACAAGGCTCACATGGTAAAGTGACTGCCTGGCAAGTACAAGGCTCTGAGTTCAAACTCCAGAATCACAAAAAGAAAAATCCCCCAAACAACCACAAAAGTAATCTTTTATGTGCCTTGTATCAGACCATGTTGTAATATAATGAGTGCATTACTTTTTAGGTAACTGTGAGTCAAGCACTCTCAGAACTTGATATCATAGATAAGATGACTGAGATCCAAAAATAAGGGAAACGATTGGACCAGAATTTCTCACTAGGGAAGTGAAAGAGCTGTCTTTAAAGTTTACAAGAACATCATAACTAGTATTTATGATGCAAAAAAATGAATAATCTGAAAAGTTGCTACATCTGGGAAAGGGTGACTAAAATTGTCCAGACACTTGCCTCCATTTTCTATTCAATATATAATTTTTCTTTTTCTTTCCTTTTCCCAATACTGAGCTAGTCAAGGATAATCACATCAGGCTTCCCTGATTTTGCCTCAGCACCTAAAACAGGTCTAGCACATGAGAGTTGCCTAAGAAAAATACTAATGCTTAGACTTACTACTTCCTAATACTTATTACTTGTGAATATTGATCGCTTTGAGTAACTGAATAAAGGCCTCAGCTTTGGTTCAATAGTGCAAAAATGAGTCATATATATATATATATGTGTATGTGTGTATGTTTATTTATATATGTATGTATGTATATGCATATACATGTATATTTACACACACACACACAGTTTAGAGGTTGTGTTCTACAATCAAGAGCTCCCTTAGGCCCAGAGGGAAATGTGGATTTAAAGTAACTTGATCCCTCACAGATGTTGTTCTAAAAGATGCAGAACTTTTTGAGATTCCCTTAGCGTTCACGGAGAGATTAGTTTTTAGCCCAGTGCCCAGTTTTTGGCTCCCAGGGTTTTAACTGGAATTGAACGTTACTGAAGGTCAAAGGGGAAGTCTTCTTTGGCTGATGTTTCATGAACTGGATCCCACAGGACTGATCATGGAC